ATTACATCATATATATGAATGACAGACACACAACAGTAGTATCTAGTCCTCACCTAAGCAAAGCTGGGCTATGTTAATAATGTACTACATATACCATTAGTAAAAAAGATGCCTTAGAATTTACTTTTAAAGATGTGAAAGTGAAAACATTTTAAAGTGTAAACTGCAATGTAGTATCAAACAAAACAGCTGCACCTGTTCAGTATTACAGCTTACTATATCCATTGCTCTCAATTATGATAACATCACTTTCTTTACTCCAGGCATCAGTGATTACTATGATGTTTATGATAAGGTCAAGTCTCTTAGTGTTCACTGGAAGTCAATGGCTATATCACTGAGACTGCGAATGAATGACATCAACAGTATAGAAGCTACCCATCGGGGAAACCCTCTCTCTTGTCTACAGCAGATTCTTGAGTATTGGCTGAGAAAAAACTACGACTATGAGACTCATGGTCCTCCATGTTGGAGGATCATGTGTGTAGCTGTTAGAGAAGGAGGAGGCAACCCAGCACTAGCACAAGAAATATCTCTTAACCACTTGCTACCAGTTGCTGAGGGTGCGACTGAAGATGTTTCTCCTATAAAATCAACCGCTTCAAAAGGTACAATCCATTTTGGTAAAGTTATAATCTGGCTAAAATTATTAAAATGGAGGATTTTCTCCCAGTTATTTTGACAAAATTTTTTAATAACTATAGAAATTTGTAAAAAAATCTGATTTTGATTGGAATCAGCTCAAACTTGCTACACAACATAACAACATGTATATGTATTAGAAAAATTATTAAAATGAAGAATTCTTTCCTAGTCATTTTTGGCAAAATTTGGCCAATGACTTTAGTTCAAATGCTATAAGAAATTTCTGTAATATTTATTATGACACTCATGTCTTTATTATTACTATTTTTGGTTAGGTGTATTTATTTGATTATTTTAATTTTTAGGCACCTCAATTTACGTTGCTTCTGAAAGAAATTTTTCACTTCTAAATAAAATATATAATCTCCAGAAAGAGTTTGCTGAAGCTATTCGAGTAACAAAAGTATCATTCAAGCCAAAGCTCCTTCTTCAAATTATTGAGTATCTCAAAAGTCACATAGTTTCTTTATTGGGCCCCCCAAAAAATAGCCAAGTTGTAGTGCAAGCAGTTAGGGAAGAGTTCTGTAACTGTAAAAGTGTTGAAGATCTTTTTACAATCTTGCAAGATAAATACATATCGTGGTTCAACTATGAAATAATTGTTCGACTCGTTTCTGTTTTTCTGAGGAAGAAAAAGTCGCTAAAAAGAATGTGGTCAATGTATGAAGACAAGTTAAAGGACTATTTCATTAACAGTGGTGGTTTACTAAAAGATGTTGATGCTGTACAGTTTGGTATAATGGATGCTCCTCCTGGTACACGAGTCATGATTGCTAAAGTTGAGCGAGAGGACTACACACTAGCAGACCTTTTTTTCTTTCAGAGAGCAATACCACAAGAGCTGGATATTCCAGAGATGAGGTTATATTTCTCATTTGTAACCATTGGCTCTCTTCACTTGCATTATCTTATTCCTGAGTATCTTTATCTTTTGCTGTTTCCTCTCACTGAAAAGCTACAGAAGCAGTTAGCTAGTATTGGCATCGCTGAGATTACTTGTGACAAATATGTGTATGATTTGAAGGAGGTATGTGACATACAAAATTAAGAAGTAGATCTAATCTGATTTTTTATTTAATAGCTCATGGTGTCTCAAGAAATTAAGCATTTATTGACTAAAATTGGTAAGTAGCTAGCATAAAAACCAAAAGTTTGATGTTGAATTATGACTTATGATCAGTGGCGGTACCAGGTCAATGAAACAGAGGGAGCACTATATACAGGAAAGGGCACTATAATGTAGAGAAGAGTTAGTCAAGAATGGCTTGGGAGGCATTTACACTAAAAATACCAGTGCTTTAATTAGAATTTTGCCAACAGGTGGGCCTGTGCCCTCCAGGCCCCCCCTTAAAAACCGCCAGTGCTTATGATTATTTTGAACTTTCAAAAATTTTCCTAAATTTCAATTACATTACTTTTGTTTTAGATATTTGCGATCCACTATTGTATGAGAATACCAGCACTCCACTACATGATGCATGCTGGAGAGGATTAGAAAATGAAGTTCAATGGCTTATTGACACATTTAAATATGATACTTTCAGTCAGTCTAGTCTTCATGGATGGACTCCATTGCACTCTGCATCATATGGTGGGCACCTTGAGCTCCTTCAACTACTCATCCATCAGTATGGCTGTGATCCTAATGCGTCTGATCATAATAGTGTATCCATACTGCACATGGCATCTTATAAAGGTCACATATCAATAGTTCAATATTTGATAGACACATGTCGCGTTCCTCCTGATCAACCAGATGAAAGCAATGTCACAGCATTACTGTACGCAGCAATTGGTGGTCATTCTGATCTGGTGGAATTTTTTGTTAATTGTAATTGCAACACGTCTCAGGTTAATTTTGCAGATGCATCCTTATCACTTTTAGCCTGTATGAGCGGACAGGTAGCTTTAGTCCACAAACTTCAAGAGTTAGGTCTTTTTTCACCAAATGGTAAAAGTAGTTTGGACACCAATATATTACATTATACCTGTCAATCTGCGAATGATAATTTGGAACTTTTTAAGTACCTATTATCTCAATATCGGATAGCCATTGATTCAAGAGATCGATATGGAAGAACTCCACTTCATACTGCTTCAATGTTTGCTTCATCAGATATTGCTAATTTTATTATGAATAGATCTACTCAACTAATTGCTAATCCAAATAAGTCGTATCTACATTATGCATCTAATGCAGGCAGTAGCATTAAAGGTGGAAATGTGTATTGTAAACTTGTTTCACCACATGATGCACCAATTGTTACTGTTATTAATACTACTAGCGTAAAAAGAAATGTCGATTTTTTCAAAAGCAAACAACGATTGCATTTGCTCTCTTCTTTTCTCAAAAAAGCTAGCACCTACCCTAACTTTGACATCAATGTCACTACATATAATGATTCATTACTTTATTCAGCATCTGGGAGTGGTAATACATTGCTTGTTAAAGTATTGCAAGAATATGGTATCATTTCTTCATTAAATAGTGATTATCAATCTCCAGTACACAAAGCTGCCTCATCAGGTTCTACTACAATGCTAAACTACATCATATCTCAGTATAATCTTGATGCTAACCTGCCTGATCCTGCTGGTCAAACACCATTGATGTACTCCTGCTCATCAGGTAGCATTAATGCTGTTGATTATCTCATTACTTGTCATAACAGTGATCCTAATATCACTGATCTCAATGGTATGACAAATCTTCACCATTCTTGTCGTAATGGCCATATTGATGTCACTCAATATCTCATTGAGGTACAGCATTGTGATGTTAATAAAACAGATAATAAAGGACGCACATTAGTACATCATGCTGCAAGTAGTGGTAATTTTAATTTAGTTCAGTATCTTATTACTGAACAAGGTTTGTCTCCTACTGCAGTCGATAAGAATGGCCTCACTGCTTTACATTATGCTTCCCGTACTCTCAATTTGCACCTTGTTCAAGAATTAGTAGTTACCCATCATTTGGATCCGCAACGAGCAGCCAAAGATGGTAGACTTCCAATTCATGATGCTGCTCAATCTGGTGCTATTTTTATACTGGATTACTTTGTCAAGTCTTGCAAATGCAACCTTAATCAAAAAGATACAAAAGGTTGTAGTGTTTTTCATTATTCATCCACAAACGGGAACTCCCATTTTGTAAAGCATGTCATCAGCCAGTATCCTAAATGCAATAAGTTGCTGCATGCTACTGATGACATGGGTAATTTACCACTACATGTTGCTTGCCAGAGTGGTAATGCCCGACTAGTCACATTTTTAATAGATGATATGAAGTGTGATGTCACAGCTACCAATAAACGTGGTAAAAGTTGTGTCTCTCTTGCCTGTTCCTCAAATAATCTTAATCTAGTTCAGTTACTTGTACAGCAATACAAGCTCAATCCTTTTGCTGCTGATAAGTATGGCTTTACACCATTACACGTAGCAGCAGAAAGTGATTCCATAGATATACTGGAATGGTACAGTCAGCAGTATGGTGTGGATATTGCCAACCACAGCAGCAGAGACAAATACACTTTAGCACATTTAGCTGCTTATATCGGTGCATTAAAATTTCTGAAGCATCTGATTGACAAGTATCAGTGTGATGTTAATGCCACTACTACCAATGGTAGTACAAGTCTTCATTTGGCATGTGAAGGTGGTCATCTCCCTGTTGTTCTTTATCTCACTAGTCTCCCTCAGTGTAATGTAGCAGCTACCACTTTAGATGGATCTACGGTTCTTCACAAAACCTGCATATGTATTTTCAAGGAATCTTTTCCAATGCTCAAGCACCTGGTTGAGAATCATCAGTTAGATCTGTGTGCTGTTAATGATAATGGAATGGCGCCTATTCATATAGTATGTAGTAATGGAAAGTTAGACTCTGTCCAGTACATTATAGAACATTCACCATCACTGCTTGAACTGCCTGAAAGTGTTCACGGTTACACTCCATTCCTTATTTCAGTATCATACGATCAATTAAAGGTTATTCAGTATCTTATTAGTAAAAATTGCAATCTGTCTACTTCTAGTGATGCAGGTTTTAAGTCAGCTCATTTATCAGCAAATTATGGTTGCTTAACTGTATTGAAGTATCTCGTTGATAATAATTATTGTGACCTTAATGGAACTGATCATCAAGAGCGTACACCACTTCACATTGCTATACTGGCTGATCAATTTGAAATAATCGAGTATATACTAAACAAGTCAATTCCTTTGGTGACTGTTGATTGGCTTCGTGAAGTCAAATATTCATTAGACAGTCCTCAAGACTTGCACACTACTAACCTTCATTTTAATGTACAAGACCATGATGGCAACACTCCCCTTCATCTTGCTTGTGAAAAAGGAAAAAAGGACATTGTATCTCTGTTAGTAAAATCTTTCCACTCCAGCAGTTATTTCTTAATTGCTAACAAAAAAGGAGAGACACCATTACACTTGATAGCTGCTGTTGGTAGTAATGATGCTGCAGAAGCTTTGCTTGTTTCAGTCACTGGCTCTCTCCGGAGTGAGCTTTTTGCCACTTGTGATAATGAAGGGTGCACTGTGTTTCATACAGCCTGCAGTAATGGTCATCTTGATGTCTTTCGATTTTTTTGCAATGTTTATCCCGATGGTGTTCATGTAATGGATGATAAACATCGTAGTTTACTTTATGCAGCGTGTAAAAGTAGGAATACTGAGATAGTAAAGGGTCTCATTGAAAAGTACAAACTAGATCCTGAGTCTAAAGATATAGATGGTACTTCATGTCTGCACTTGCTAGCTGGAAGAGGCCATGTTGAAATGTATCGATATTTGAAGCAATACATTCACTCTACTGCAATCCCTTATAACAAGATTGGTCGTACTCCACTTCATTATGCTTGCAGTTCTGGTAGGATGAATATGGCAATTTATCTCATAGAAACCTACTCCTGTTCTCCTGATGATCCTGATTATAATGGCTATACAGCAGTTCATGCAGCATGTGAATCTGGTAGCATCGAGTTAGTTCGCTATTTCTTAACAAATCTAAGATGTAATGCATACACTGAAACCAAAGAGCTACAAACTCTTCTTTATTTTGCTAGTAAGAGCTCTAATTTAGAGCTCGTTCGATATCTAGTCAATGTATTCAGGCTAAAACCTCGTCCACATGATATTGAAGTAGCTCAGTTGATGAATCCTGATTCATCAGTAGTGAAGTATCTTCAGAAAGTTCATACTGACATGATTCTTGATATGGTGGAGGAAGAGAGGAGGAAAGCAAAGGAGGGAGGTTATCATGAAAAACTGGTGGAGCTCCCTGAAGAACAAGGCACAAAATATCAACAATGATATTATCATTTAATTATTTGAACTATCCTTACAGTACCACTTTTTTTACTTTTACATGGCATATTATAATTTT